CCGCAAACTCCGACTGGATGCGAAAGAATTCTTGTCTGATGTCCGCGTCCTGGATTGCCGACACGCTCGCGGCCCAATCTTTGAGTTTACTCGGTAGCAGAAGTTGATGATGGTCCCGTACGATCGCCCGCATGTGATAGATGGCGTAGTAGGCACCCTTCTGACCGCCAGGCGGCTGCTTGACATTGCTTTTCCAAGTAGACAGGGCCTTGCTCATCTTCGTGAGGGCAGCATTGTTCACTTTTCCAAGTGGACAGGACACACGATTTTCTTCGCCTCCTCCAAACTGGTCGGGCACTTGTTCCCCTTGGGAAGACGTTCGTGCCAGAAGGACATGTTCTCGTCGAAGCATGCGTCGGTCATTTTGTGTTTTACCTTCATCTCCAGAGCCATGCGTGTTACTTTCAGGCGGGTATCCTCGGGCCTGCATCCTTCATACAATGGAGTAACCGCGTCTAACTCAAGTTGATCCATCTTGGCTTTCTCTCGGGCGGCAGCTCTTGCGTTATCCGTCTTCTTGAGAAGCAGCTCTTGAATATGAGGGTCCTGCACCCAGCCCATCGATGGTCCAGCGTCGTCTGCTCCGCTGGCATCATCATCTTCATGATCATGCCCGTCGTCTGCTCCGGCATCTTCCTCATCATCATGTCCTGCATCTTCTACATGATGACTGTGTACAGCATCACCGTTGTGATCATCTCCTGGGGATTCTTCGTCTTCTCGCCCGCCCGAGCCGCGGTGGTTGTCTTGCTGCCCTTCCTCATTTCTTGCCCGGCCCCCATGGACGACTTCGTAGTCATCTTCATCACCTTGCCACCGATAGCCATCCATGAAACCACGCAAGAGCAGGTGGTCCCGCACCTGCCCGGATTCCGGGTCCGCAATAAGGCTCTTCAGCTTGCATCTTCGACACGGACATCTTATCTCCGTCTCGTTCTTTTGAAGCATCTCGGCCTTCGCGGACCTCAAAAACCTATTCACGATGCCTTTGGTCATCGTGCGGACCATGGTCGCCTGCGGGGTAGAGCAAAACGATATTTTAGAACCAAGAAAAAATTTGGCATGACTTTCCTTAAAAATAGGACCAAAAAGAATGCTTAATGCCAAAATTCTCGCCGAAACGGAAATGAATCAACATTCCGGCAAAATATTGGCAATTATCGCATTTCAAATACCGGTACACCTCCAAACACAAACACATATGCAACACCACAAACATATGCAACACCACAAACATACATAGATCTAGCTAGGCCATAAAAAGTGCATGTGCACATTGTTGTAGGGAGAACAACATAAATATAGCTTCCCCCCTTACTTACCTATCAAAACAAGGTAATTTAACCACTTAAATTGAATGAATCTATGGTGGAAATGAGGTGAAAAAGAGGAGGCACCCGAGACAAGGAGGAGGTGGAGAGAATGAAGTGGGGAGAAAGTGAGTGTGGGTAGGAGAGGCTCTCCAAAATATCTTGTTGCTGCCCACTTACTAATGGCGCACCAACTCCAAATGCGCCATTAGTAATCCAGGTTACTAATGACGCACCTTCTGGTGGTGCGCCATTAGTAGTTTTGCAAAAAAAACATACTAATGGAGCACTGTTCCACAGTGCGCCATTACTAGTTCCATTACTAGTTTAAACTAGTAATGGCGTACGGTCGAACAGTGCGCCATTAGTAGTTTTGCAAAAAAATAATAAAAAATATAATAAAAAAACAACATTAGTGGCGCACTTTCCGACAGGTGCGCCATTACTAGTTACAACTAGTAATGGCGCACTGTGTCTGGATGCGCCATTAGTATGTTTGGACAGGCGCACTAGTTCAAAAAAAATTGATACTAATGGCGCACCCTGGGCCAAGTGCGCCATTAGTAGTTTCAGCTCTAATGGCGTATCAGAAGGTGGTGCGCCATTAGTATATACTAATGGCGCACCGCTTGTCTGCTGCGCCATTAGTGTCAATCACATCTATAGCCCTTTTTCTAGTAGTGAAGCCCGGCCGGCGGCGGCGGGCCCTCCTCCCTTCGCGCGCGGTGTGGTGCTGGCGCGGGACAGCGCCCTCGCGCGGATGCGCGCAGCCATGCAGGGCGGCGCGGCGCGGATGCGTCTGGGGCGGCCGGATGGCGGCTCTCTGGCGCAGAGGCGCGGGTGGCTGCAGATTCGCGGCCTGGCGGGGCGTGCCGGTGTGGGGCGGCCATGGTGAGCTTCTCGGTCCAGATTTGGATCGGGGGGGCTCCTCCGGCCTACTGCACGTGGGCGGCGCGTCCTGTCGGCAGCGGCTGGATCCCGGGACGGCGGCCCTGGAAGGTGGCGGCTGGTGAAGCTCAGGCTTCCCGCGGCGGCATGGCGTGGTGCAGTCCCTATCCAAGGCGGATCTGCATCGGCGATCTCGTGGTTTGGCCACAGATTGGTTCAGATCAGAGACAGTGATGAGTGTGCGGGATCCATCTCGGCGGCTCTCGTGGTTTGGCAAGGTGGGGTGGGAGCCCTCCTCCCAGGCTCCAGTGGTGGCGCATTCAGACAGTGGCTGGTGTGCCAGGGCTCCTACGGCGGCACTGCTGTTGCGGTTGGTCGCCAGATTTAGGCGGCTAGATCTGGGGCTTTGAAGGCGGCCGAGACAGTGCACAGGTTGTCGGGTGGATTTCTTGGAATGGATTCGGGTGAAAACTTGGTCTTCGGTCATTGGCCGGAGCCGGTGATGACGATGCTCTTATCACCGTCTCCTTCATGAAGGCATCATCGAGGTGAAGCTCCCAACCCCACCCAATACCTCCGGGGGAAACCCTAGATTAGTGGATCGGATGACGGCGGCATTCATGTGTCGTTACCCCCTTGGGGGCGGCATTCTTGGAGATGCACTCGGGCTGGAGGGACCAATGGATGGCATCTGCAGTGGAGCGGTGTTTCTTTCTACATATTCATGACGACGGTTCTCGACGGCATGGAGCAGTGGAGGCTTGGCGTCAGATGTGTGGCGAGGGACACGCGCAGGAGGTCGACGTTGTCCGACGTCGTGGTGGAGCGGTGTTTCTTTCTACATATTCATGACGACGGTTCTCGACGGCATGGAGTAGTGGAGGCTTGGCGTCAGATGTGTGGCGAGGGACACGCGTAGGATGTCGACGTTGTCCGACGTCGTGGTGGCGTCGATAGCAGAGTGGCCTGACAAGGTCGATGCGTCAGTACATGCTTTGAGGATGGATCGAGAGAAGACGGAGGTGACGGCCCTTTGCAGCGTGTGCGTGTGGTACTCACTGAGAGTGCGCCGGACCGGAGTGTTACCCAGTTCCGCCTATGTGGCTTGGATGGGGCATCCGGCGTTAGATGTTAGGCTTTCGTGCGATGTCTGTTTGGTATAAATGGGACATTCGGCACACCTTCATCAACGGGATAGGAGTAGCAACCGGTGTCATCTAGATGGTAGCCTCGGGCTTACTGTTATATTACTTTGTAAGGTCTTTGTGAATAATAAATAATATAGCCGCATGCATCACCCAGTTGCAGAGACCTGGTGTGATTCCTCCTTTTTTTTAAAAGAAGAAGATTCCTTCAAACAGGCATCGCTGGTGCAAATCCGTGATACGTCCGGTACAGGTAGGCTGAGTTCTTGATAGAATACACACAATTCTTGCTGTTTGTTCATTGCGAAGTTTGTGTTCCTCGTATGGAGTCAGGTCAGGTAACACCTGTGATACCCTGGAGAGGGACTTTGTCGTTATTATATGGACAGTTTGACTACCTGCTTTGAGAAGAGCAAGTTTGCATGCTGCTAATCTTACCTACTTCGTGACAGATCGACATAGAATTTCTTCTGGAATTAGAATGATGTGTGCTGATAGTATATTAGTAACACCTAGTACAGTAATAGAATTATGCAACCTGATGGTGATTCTTTTGTCATGTTGTTAATCAGGCTGTGGCATGGGACACCTATAGTTGTGATCATCAGCATCCTCGTGTATTTTTGCTTCTTGGAGCAATTGCTGGTATTCATATCTATCACTCTGTTGATTTTTCTTACAACTGGATCGATAACAATTTGTTTGTTGCTGGTGACGGACACTATCACATTAACCCCCATCCACCTCAGAACACAGACTGAAATTTTTGACATGAACTGCCATGATAAAACCCTCACTGCAACAGTAACTAAATTGAAAATGCACTTGTGTGCAGTGGCGAGGAGATACGTGTGGATATACGCGGCGATCCAGTTCCTCTTTGTTGTGTTCTTCACTCATTTGTTCTACAGACATGCAAGCAAAACAGAGCATACTCTGCTCACACCGCCTGAAGTTTCTGAATGATTTGTGATGCAAGTGTTGATGTCTGGGAACTGTTTGTTTGTGTCAGCTGCATCTGCAGGCGGTGATATCCATCATCCTGGCCACCTTTGCGGGTTTCGACGTGGGGATGATCGGCAACTCCATCATCATCGAGGTGCTCAGGTGGAGGACGATATCCCCGGCCCAGCCGCGCCGCACTCGCAGGCCGCCACGTGTCGCACAGCAGCAGCAGCAGCAGCAGACGGCTCCGGCATCCAGTCAGCCATCAGGCGCCGGTGAGGGACAGCGTAATGCCGGCGGTGACGTCGAGAATCCGGCCGTCCCTCCCGCATAAACGTACATGTAGTTTGTAGCTCTGTGCTGTTGGTTGATGCTTGAGAGTTTGGTACCTTGCTGTATAAATGGTAGTGGAAGGAAGAGGTCTAAAAGTTTTTTCATGGTCTGAATGCAAAATCTTTCAGAATTTTTTTGTTGCAGCATGTTGTAAGGAACTGCAATGACCTGCTATATAGCAGATCCTGAAGAAGGATTCAGTAGCATGTGTCATGGTGTACAAACTATGTCAGGCATATGGCTATGCTCTGCTCTTGTCCAGGTTAGGAAGTATGTAAAAATCCCATTAGAAATCTTCAAGATAAGCAAGTAAACAAACATTTTTTCTTAATTACTACTCCCTCTGACAGTTTCTTTTTACAGGTAATGGCTGCAACCATCACGAATCTGCTCTTAACGTCTGCACTTGGTCGGTCGGCCTAGAGCCCATGAGGAAGTCACGGTACCACTTCGCCGACATCTTTGGAGTCCTCTTCTGCGTTTCATAATCCACATGATACAGTCCAAACCTTACCGTGAAACCAAAAGTCCACTCGAAGTTGTCGATGATACTCCATACGAAGTAGCCACGCACGTTTGCTCCTTTCCTGTAAGCGTGAGGAAAGTGTTAATACTTTCAGAATGCAGAGTTGTAGACGAAGCTTCTTATTTCGATATCATATTTTATGAGTGTGTGTGACAAATGAAAACAATTAGCTTGCTTTCTAGGATACTTTTTGAACCGACATGACTAAAAGAGCTAAAGGGCAGCCCGGTGCATGCAGCTCCCGCTTGTGCAGGGTCCGGAAAAAGATCCGACCACTTTGGGTCTATTGTAAAAGGAAATATACATGGGAAACAAAATAAAGGATAGAACAAATAATATAGAAAAAAGATATGATACA